AACAATATAACTTATGTAAATAATTTTTATAAGTATTTTTCGAATTCAAAATTAACATTTTTTTCCTAATTACGGATCTAAAATGTTTAATTTAGCAATAAAAGCAATAAGCAATTTTTGCATTACACTGTAATGAAAATATATTTTATAAAATTTCATTACATCTGAAATTGCAAACTATTGAGGTTATTTTCTTAAAATCTCTTTCCGATTTAAACAATTAATAAAATATAAAGATCGAATTTATGTATTCTAAGTTTATAAATTGCTTCCTTAAATCCATTTCCTCAGATCTATCTTTGTTTATTATTTGTGTAACAATATCAACTTCTTTGTGAAGAATTTCTTAAATGTATTTTAAATTCAAAATTAATGCATTTTTTTTTCTAATTACGTGTCGAAAATGTTTAATTTACCGATAAAAGCATTTTTGCGACTCATTGTAATAAAAATATAGCTTTTATAAAGGTTCATTACACATCTGATATTGCAAACTATTTAGGTAATTTTCTTAAACCTTTTATCCTAATTAAAAATGAATAAAATATTAAGTTTAAAGTAAAGTATTTTGATTGTCTAAATTGTTTTCTTAGACCCGTTTTCCCCAGATTTATCATAGCAACAAAAATTTCTTAAAGTGTAATTTCTTGTATTCATTTTTAATTCAAAATCCATAGTTTAATTAAATCCTAAGTAGCACAGGGATATTATTAGATACCGAATAGATATTGATTGACATTGTGAACGCTGAACGATATCAAAAAAAAGTACTAAAAGAAAGCGTCATGGAAATTTTAAAAAATAAGTGTTTTTGACTATTTATTACGAAAAATATTAAGAAAGGAGGAAATATCATTGCACATTACTATACAACTAAGAAGAGGTGGGTCAAGACATGGAACAGGTGTTCTCTCGAGATGGCGTTGCAATCGATAAAAGTCGCAACTTTAGCAATTTGTAATTTCACAATTATCATTCATTATTTATATTCTGAAATTATGTAATAAAATCCACACTACATAATTATAAAGTTATAATTACATTTGAATTGTGTAGACATTTTAACTTTAAAATTTTTTCCCTTAAAATCCTAAAATAAAATTGTTCAAATTTTAAGTTGTCATTCTTTGTAATAATTGACACAATAGAGAACATAATTTTAAAGTATTCGAATTACCTACTTCAACAAATATACAAATATTTTCTTTCACTTTTTTCCCCCTGAAATTAAATGGAGAGAAACTTACATAACTTTATTCTTTTAGTATCGGAAATTTTAATTAACAAAACACCTGAAACAAAATCCAAAAGAAAATTTTCCATGGAGTGAAACCAGGAAAGCTTCTAATATTATGAAAATTGCCGAAAATTTCTTATAATGTAAAAACAATTTTATATGGGCACATCTGAAATTTTCATCAATTCGATAATTATTTAAACGTGTTATGCTCTAAACCAACAATCTTAGCAAAAAATTTACATAACATTTTAATTTCAAAACTGTCAGTTAATATGTTTTATCTAAATTGAATTTGCAGAAACATATAATTGCATACGAGAATGAGGTGAAAAAATAAAAATTTTTTACATTATCTTTTAAAGATTTATTACGAAGTTGCGGAATAAGAATAAATAAGATGTTAAGAATAAAAATAATGTTAAGAATAAAAATAAATAAATAAATAAATGAAAATGAAAATAAAAAAAATCATCACAAACATTATTTCACAACTTAATTATTTAAAAACAAAGCACAATATAAATGTTAACTTCACGCAATTATAAAAGCAATATATTCTTACGGTCATTGTTAAATAAAAACATATCAATAATCCTTTGGAAAAATGCAAGTTAACAACACATATTTGTAATTAAGTAAAATAATTTCTGTTTTTTATTCCAAAAAGCAACAGTTAGACTACGTGCTATCTAGTTATTATTATTTTTAAATAAAAAAATAATCCAAGACTTTACAGTCATTTCATGAAGTTCAAAGTTTTTTTTCCCTTTAATTGCAATTTTTGTTTAGTCGCAACTATATTTCAGAAGAATAAACTTAGGAGTATTTGCTTTATTGAAAGAAAAAATGGTCAGCAAACGTTAACAATGCGCATACCACACGAACACTCATAGCAGGGATTAATCACACAAGTACGCGTCTCTCCCCAAACTTCCTCAATGTCTCACAACAACCAACAAGAGAACTTAACAGCCATTTCATATAGTTTTATTCCTACAATTGCTAGTTTTTGCTTACTTGCAACTATATTTCCGTGCGATAAACCGGGCAATCTTTAAATGCTTTTTTGAAATATTTTATAAAATGATCAGTAACAGCTAATAATGTGTATATGACACAAGCATACAGTTGGGTTGGGATGAATCACACAGGTATGCACAGATGTTCAATTTTAACGCCATTTCTGCACTGCTCTTCATTCAACTTAAACACACTTTGAATGGACCATATTGCTGTTTATTTTTTATTCATTTGCTGTAATTTATAAATTAATATAAATAATGATGCATCAAAAACATGCAAATATATCAAAAACATGCTATATTCCAAAAATAAAAATAAAGATGTTTATCTCATTATTTTACAATATTTTAAACAAGAAATTTTAATAAAGTAACAATAGTGTTCGTCTTATGAATAAAATCTCAAACATTCTAAAATGTATTGGTTTTAATTGAAAAGTAGCGATTAATTAATAGTTATTTTTACATACGTTTCAGCAAACTTGTTTACTGAAAATTATTTTTTATCTTTCTCATTGTTGCAGAGAAATTCTGTCAGATGTGAATAACCAAGTAGACATTGTTTTAGTAGCCTATTCTAAACTAAATACAATACTTATTACTTAGAGTCAGGGCCCGACTTAGCTTAATTGGGGCCCTGGGAAAAGATTTCGTTCGGGACCCCTTTCTATTTTACTACTTCAGTAATGAAGAATTGAACTTTCTGCGGGTATTTAAATTTTTCATCTCATTATACATATATAACAAGAACATTGACAAGATCCTAAAATAGCTATAATGTCCCCCCCCGCCCCTCTTTAATGGTTAGACCAAATATCGTTCTGTCCATTTTATTGATTTTCTGACAATTCTATGTCCATCATGCCGAATGCAGTTTTCCGATTGTTAACTTCGTCATTTAGCCTGCGAAAAATTCACATCCTTGCTGACATTAGGGTGGAATTCGGTTAAATTTTCGCAATTACGATGGCTCTCTTAAGCCAATCAGAAGCCTGTATTTTTGTTAACATATCACATTTTGCTTATATGTAAAAATACAGGTTTTTGATTGTCCAAATTTGTCCATCGCAGAGACAAAAATTTAGATGGATTCCGTGCTAAAAGGCCATGGATTTACGAAACATAGATTTTTGTGTTCATACGATAGAATAATGAAGAAGCTAACATAAAGCTGACGGACTTTACACTGTATTTATATTTTGCTTAAAAAAAGTTCATTAATCAAGGAAACCTAAAATAAGCTTTCAATTCAATTTGGGGGATCCCCTCTAATGTGGGGCCCTGGGCAACTGCCCGCTATGCACCTGCCTTTGTTTATAGTTTGACAATACGTTTTAACAGTGTAGTCAACTACTACTACTTATTAGTCAACTACAACTGCGCAAAATAGACAGAAAAACAACCAGTATACCTTAAAAATCACCTCATAGCGCTAGTTTGTATGAAGCTAACTTTAAAAAAACCTCAAAACGAGGTTAGGTATAACTAAAATGACTTCATACACCTCAATAAATACCTCACGCTCTTTAGTTAACATGAGGTAAATTTTCTTATACCTCATAAATACCTTTTTTGCTACAAGTGTAAAAAAAATACCCCGTATACCTAGAAAATCACCTCATCAGCCTGGTTGATTTGAAGTGAATTTTAAACATCCTCAAAATTAGCTGAAGTGTATGTAAAACAATATCGCACACCTCACTTACAACTTTTTTGAGGTATAATATTTATGTTGTTTCCTTACAAACCTCAAATATTCCTCAAAACAGCTTCAACACCTCGAAAGTACTTCAAAGATACCTCAAAATTACTTTACATTTTCGTAAGGGTAGCTTCTACTTTTAACATTGGCGATCGAAATGGGCTGCAGGTGGCGTAGAGCAGAACTCTTTTCCTATGGCAACACTTCACATGCTTTCCCCCATAGCGTGTGGAATAGAGGAAGGAAGTACGTTAGTTTCTCTCTTGATTTTCACATAGATTAAAATCTTTTAACTTAAAAAACTATATGGAACTGAAAACTACATTAAACATAGTTCTAAAGAAAAGTATCATAGAAATTTTAAAAAATATTTTTATTAAATAAAAGGGAAAAATATTAAGAAAAGGGAAATTATCGTAGTTCATTCCTATACAACTGAAAAGAGGAGGAGAGGGAAGGGAGAAGGGCTAAAGGCATGAAACCGGTCTCTCCCCAGATGGCGTATTCGAGTGTTGCGATCGCGAATTGAAGTCTATTGGTTGACTGCCATTCTAAAAAATTATTTCAAAATTACCAAGCCGTACCAAATATGAATGGCACTGGTTTTTAGATATTTTTTTTTTGTCGTTTGATATCCGAATAATTACATTCTTAAAGAAAATTAAAGCTCGCTTTTATTAAATAAAAGAAATAGAATTTAGCCTCTTTTCCTTCGTTGTTATCGCGTCAAGTGCATTAAGACTTCAAGTAAATCCGCGTATAAGGGTATAAGTTGCAAGTAAATAGAGGCCAAATCGGAATTGCCAAAAAAAGCTAGGTCTTTCTAAGTCTAGCAAAATACCACGTTTGCAAGAATCTCACAACACAATGATAACGTTGTGAGCCAAATGGCTTCAAAACACACCGGTAACAGTAACCCGGAAGTATAGACGGAATGGAGCTTGCAGCGTTCCCTAGTGTAGAAAACACCATCCATTAGGTGTAGTAAGCAGCTGTATACTTTCTAACCAGAAGTAAAGCAGGTCTAGAGCTCGAGATTGTTGTTGTTTACACATCTATTCTCTGTAACCGTAAAAATTCAGAACACGCACGAAATTTTACTTTCGTTATGGATGTCAATACTTCAAGTGAATGAATTTTTCGCTTCAAGGAGGCGTAAACTTCCGATTTGTTCCGTTGGTTGCATCTAACTGTTTACTAAATTTCCTTATATAGGGTCAACGATCCTCGGTGCAGGTAATATATTACTTTTCTTTTAAATAAAGTTAATAACAATTACAAGTTTTGTAAAAAAGAAACTTGTTTTGGTTTTGTGGTCTATGTTATCAATATGCTGCTTGCTTACGATTTCTTTCTTAAGTTGGGAAAATTTCCATCATGGCAATAAAATAAGTAATGTATTTTAATTTTATGTTTGTAGTATCTTTCTATTTATTTTGTCAAAATTGTTACATTTGTTTACTGAAGCATTTGATTAAAATTGTTTTAGTTTGACGCTAGCGACTGACTAAAAATATTTTATCTGGTATAAATTTGTTTGTTTAGCTTGGAGCTAAATTTTTGAGTTGTTTTAGAAAGTGCATTAAGTATAACATTTTCAGGAAAATGACCATTTCGTGGTTTGCGGAAGAATAATCACAAAGTTTTGGCAGCTGCTCACTGAAAAAAATAAAGACACTCCAGGGCAAGCCTAAACAAGTTGTTTTTTTAAAGAAAATAATGCAAATTTAAGATCTATTTAGTGGTTTCACGATTTTTGTTGTTGTCGCGACAGATACAGAACTACATCGTTTTTTCAGAGTGAGATTTCCTTATTTAATTTAAGTTCATTGCATGACTTAATGATAAGTAAAATAACAGTTATTGTGAAATCCAAACACAAGACTTTAAATTTTATGAGTGACTTATATAGCTATTAAATGTATTGCTTCATAAATCAATTTAAACAAGATATTCTTGTGTTGTATTATAATCACATTAATTTCATACATATTGTTTTAATTTTAACATAATAAGAATAAGTTTTTGAGTAAGTCTTAAAAAGTTGTTGAAAATGTTTTCATTTTAAAAATGACCACTTCTCATGTAAATAGTGACTTCAAACTCATATATTTAAATGTCCAACTTCTCTTTTAAAAAATGAAGTCTTCATCTGCATTTTTCAAAACATCTTACATCTTTTCAATTACAATTTTTCCAATTTTTAAGAGAATATTTTCCCATCTTGGGTATTTTTGAGACTTCATATAACATTCTATCTAAGAAAGTGTTCAAGTACCTTTAGGCAAAAGAAAACAAATTCTTGAAACTAAAGAAAATTGAAAAAAAAAATCCCTAAGTTTGTTTCAAAATGTTAGTCATATTTTATTCTAAATGAAATGTTGTCTTTGTAGAGTGTGTCATGCTTATTTCAGCTACTTTCGATTTGCGATTGCAATGCTCGAATGCACCATCTGGGGAGAAGACGACTGGTTCCAATGTCTTGACTCTCCTCTTCATCTCAGTTGTATATGAATGTACTACGATATTTTCCTTTTTTTCTTATATTTTTCGCATTTAATTGTCACAAATATTTTTTTGAAATTTCCATGATGCTTTTTTTTAGAACTGTGTTCAATGTAGTTTTCCGTAGCATATAGTTTCCTAACTTAAGAAGTTTTTTTATCTATTTGAAAATCAAGAGAGAAATTGATGTACTTCCTTCTCCTTTGACTCTCCGCACGCTAATGGAGAAAGCATGCAAAATGTTGAAATAAGTAGAGAGTTCTGCTATAGCCCATTTCAATAGCCAGTGGTAAATATTAAGAATTTTTATAAATAAAAAGAAAAAAATTCAGTTTTATTTAAAATTTTTTAAAGATTTATTTATTATCAGAAAATTTGAAGCATTTAGTTTTTGAACTAAATAATGATCCGTTTCTTTTTCGCTATAGGCAATTTTTTTTAAAAGTGTAGCTTTCCTTGTAACTTAAACTATCTTCGATAGAATATTTTATACTCATATATATGATTAGATGTCCTAAAAAGAGGGGTGTGATAATGTGATTAAAGGCAATGTTTAAAGCAATGTCCTTGCATATGGCTGACAGTTCATTCTCAGATGTTCAGCCATTATATTTAATATGCACATTCGGCATGAAACTTTTAACGTTTATTGTGTTCTTGTTGAAATAAGATTTATTTTAGTCAATAAAGGGGCACATAATTGATGAAGGGGAATTACATCTAAAAACCAGTGGTGGTACACTGTTGGCTAATGTTCCTTGAATGTATGAATATTTAATGGATCTTATGTAATGGAATTTAATTATTTTAAAATGAACTTTTTTTTTGTTGCTTTAAATAGGCATTATACTATTTATTTATTCTATTGTTGCAGAAAATGAATAAATATGAAGTTTTTGAAAATGAGCAAGAAACAGAATCCCACAATTTCAAACCAGATTCAGAAGTAATTGATGTTAATGTGGGCAAAACTATGGAAAACAGTAGTGTGGCTATACATATCTCGAAATCTAAATTGGTGGGACAATCTCTCTTTGTTGAAAATTCTGTCGATAATGGTGGCTCTCATGTTGTTACTATTCAAGACCCAGCAGAAATGGAAGAAGTTGGTACAGAAGTTGGGTAAGAGTTAGGGAACATTCTATTTTATGATAAATATATTTTGTTTGAATTTTAATCACATGTACTCTTTAAACTTAAATTTTTTATTAAATAATTTTTCCTCTTGTTGTCTGCAGTAAGGTTATACATAATATCAGTTTGGCTTCACATTACCTTATAGCCTGGCAAATGTAAATTGTTTTACTTTTAGCATAGCATGATAAAATATATTGTTTTTATTTGTTAAAATGATTAAAAAAAATCTGGATATTTAATATCTTATTTTCATGTTTTACTCTCTAAGTAGCACACAATATCAATCAATTTCTCAAAAATCATAATTTGTTGAACAATGTTCCTAAGCAGCTACGTAAAAACATTACCTTTTCTTATACTGCACAATATTGCAAAACTGATGCAGAATGTCGATCGATATCCCCTAGCATTTACAAACATTGTAGGATGTTGACCAACATCGTCAACAAGATATTCATGAACTGAATACTGTGGAATGCTAACATTAAAATTACGTTACTTGGAACAAAAAATCACAGGTTTTAGTACCGATAAGCAATGATCCTGAGGGTGTTCTGGTTTCCCGTTGTTTGTTTCGAAGTAGAGCAAGAGGACTGATGTAGTTGTTTTCTTTCTTGAGGTCCTGAGACCATTGTAATTTACCAATATTGTGCGACTAACCAATATTAAGTATGTTTTGAGAATGTTTAAGATGCAAGATTGTGTTCTGTTTAACTGTCATTACTTGTCAATCAAGATTTCTTTTGTTTTGTTAATGCATTTTGATTTAAACTATAACTTGTTGTTTTCATTATATTTAATTCATGCCCAACATCACTTTAATATAATCAACATTTTAATTAAATTTACACATGCATATGCTAGTTTTTACTGTAAGGCTAGAGTTTTATTTAAAAGTATAAAATAAACCATTTGTTTTGAATACCTAATATCTTCTTATAACATTCCTTATTGTATAATATTCCTTATCCTTTTCTTCTGTATTGTCTTCTGTATTCTGTATTGTTCTTCTGTCTGTATGTCAAAATTGTGGAATGACCACTCTGATTATATGGTTAGTAGACCTTGTAAAATATAGGATTGCATAGGTGTGTGGCAAGTCGTTGCAAACATACACATGGTAGTTGAAAGCATGGTTAAAATTACTTTAATTGTTAATTTGAAATTATCATGGGCAAATATTAATTTTAGAAATTAAATTTCACAATGCAATGCTTTAAAACAGAAAAAACTATTTTTTCACTATGCTGACTAATTTGATTAACGTAACTTGATTCAATTGTTAATGAATGATTAAATTAATAATTTAGTTAGATTAAAATTGACTTTTAAAGTATAAAAAATTAATTTTATAACACTAGTTAAAAAATCTTTAAAAGTGTAACACCAGATCAAATATAAAAAAATGGATAATTTTAAAGTTTTGAATGTAAAATTGAATATTTAGCTTCAGATAACATTGATTCTAGTTTTAGTAATCTTGTATGCTCCCTTCACCAAAGACAGCAAAATTGGCTCTATTACATCTGTTATAAATGTTTTAATTTTTCTTATGTTGTGATTTCCACTTATTATTTAACATGACTTTTTAATCTATTGTTTTATTATAGGTTTATGCAATTTCAATTAAAAAGGATAGTTGAGCATCTAATATTCAGGTAATTAATTTTGATTTTTATTAATTATCAAACTGTTTTGATTTTTTTTGTTGCTATCTTTTAAATGTTTTAACATTTGATATTTTAGGGTGTTCAGTATGATATTGATCATTGCAGATATCAGTATTTTGATTACCGCATTAGCCATGACAAATAAAACTCATGAACAAGACGAGGCTTTTGAAATAGTTGCTATATGTTTTGTTGCTTATTTCCTGTTTGAAGTTTTTATTCGAATTTCTGCTAAAGGGTAAACTTGTTTCTTTTTACTATCTTAATTTATCAATTTAAAATAATAAAACTTTTTTTTTTGGTGTGTCATAAGCTAAAATGATTGCTAAGAAATCTGTTGTACATAATCTACTTTATTAATTTTCTATTTGTAATATCTTACCGTATTAAGTAAATGATGACGTATTATCTTTGCATGATTTTAGTGATGTAATTATGTTTAAGGAATGAATGAAAGTACAAATATCTTGTGATACTGTGGCACCGTGGTTTTATGTTGTCCATTTCGTAGATTATGCCGCTTCCTACATTTATTTCCATTGGTCCATAAAAATTCTCGTAAAAATTTTAATTATCTCTAATTTTACAAGTGTAGTGGGATGGGTAAAGTATGGGAAGGATGGTTAAAGAAAATATGGGAGTTCAAATTTTGAAATTTGCTAGCGGAATTTTTCGTTTCAACTTTGAATCTTGGAATTATCTAAAAAACTGGTTGGGTAAACATTTACTTATTTTTTTTCATTTTTTATTCCATAACCTGCAAGACGCTTCTAATCCAAGAATAAATGTTCTGGAATCTCTGAATTTGATTTCTACAGCATTGAACAGTGTGTACTAAAATTTGTGATTGTTTAATTACAAATTGACATTTGTACAAATACCCATTTGTGATTGTTTAATTACAAATGGGTTTAATAAAAGTTCTCAGGGCTTCTCTGTATCCAATAAGAACATTAGCCCTTCGGAGGAATAAAATAGCTAATGATTTTTAAGGATCGAATTATTTAAGGATTTTACAATTTACAATGAAAATTGAGCAAAAAATTTTTGAAGAATTTACTCATAACTGATCAAGAGTTTATAAATATAAAGACTTAAACAGTTGAGAGTGTAAACCATTAAGCAAATTTGCAAACAATTGTAAGTATTGAGAAAGATATTGTGGAAATTGCATTTAAAAATAAGAAATTTAAAGATTACAAAGGTTTTCTAGTTTTTATTTTTTGTAAGTGTAAATTTTTGAAAAATATATTTAATGTTTTTCTTACTCCTATTTTAAGTTTACCTGCTTCACACGTTTTTTAATGTTAGTCCGACAGATAGCATGAAATTGGGGTTCTTCTATATTTAAATGTTACTTGATTTTTTTTTTAGTTATTTTGCAAGTGACTATCCAGGAGGAAAAACAGTTTATGTCCATAATAGTTAATTGTGAGAAAAAAAACTAATTTCAAGGGTCACAAGACTNCTTTAGAACATATCAAATTTTCATGCAATTTGAATGATTTTTCGCAGTTCTGTGAACATTTGAATTTAGACCTTTTCTTTGTAGATTTCAAACTTTTCGCAAACTTTTGACCGGTAGTGTATTTCTTACCTTTGCACCGGAGTGTATTTCTTACCTTTCTTACCTATTCTTTGACCGGTAGTGTATTTCTTAGTGTTTTTCTTACTCCTATTTTCAGTTTACCTGCTTTACACGTTTTTTAATGTTAGTCCGACAGATAGCATGAAATTGGGGTTCTTCTATATTTAAATGTTACTTGATTTTTTTTTTAGTTATTTTGCAAGTGACTATCCAGGAGGAAAAACAGTTTATGTCCATAATAGTTAATTGTGAGAAAAAAAACTAATTTCAAGGGTCACAAGACTAATTTTCTTCCTGTATTGTTCATCATTGCTGTGTAATAACTGTTAAAATACCCTCAAGAATCATAGATCAACCTTTTTCTGACAATGGCCTCAATTTGAAATTGCTAAAACCAAATGAATTCTTTAAGAAACACAATGCTTTATTCAACAATATATTTTAAAAATTCTCATTACTTTGAAGAAAAACATCCGTCAACTAATGACTAATTTAATTTTATGCTGGACCTACAGTTTTTGAAATGTCATTAAGGAAATATGCAAGCATAGAAATGTAGTACTGTTTAAGCATAGAAATGTAGAAATGTACACTGTTTTAGAAAAGAAATTTTCATGATTGTTTCAATTAGATTGCCCAAACATTCTAGCTTATGTTGCCCCTGAAAGAAAGAATGTTTTAAGATATTACTTTTCACAAGTAATGAAGACAAATTTTGTGACTTTAATTTCATGAATGTAATTTCAAATGTCACTGCTATGCTAACAATAAATACAAAATTAAGCTTAGAAATCAGTGAGTACTATATTCATATTGAAACTTGTGTAGCTTTTTGTGATAGATTTAGTTAGAATGTTCATAATTGACCAAAAAGAAAAACTTAGAAGCTATATGTGATTTTTTTTCTTTTTATAATATTTTTGTAATTTATTTGGTTTGTTTAATTTAATTGTATGTTTTAAGTTTACTTTTGCTGTGCGATTGTTTAATTTAAATTACAAATTTCTAAAGTTAAAGGTTCTTAGCCATAGTAAAATATTTGGAAGGAAATTGACATTAGACTTGCTGATATGCTACCTAAACAACATTGAATGAAAAATTGTTTACAAAATAGTTACTAGTTAAAAACTTATGAATCATTTTCTTTTTCTAGCTTACCTTGTAAAGGAATTTTCACAGTATGTATTTTATTTGAGTAACTTAGCATGTTTATTCTAGTTTTTCCTATTTAACTTTTAATCCATTTAAATTAAAATGATACTAAGACTTACTCTTATAATTATTGTGCAGCCTTAGTTTTTCTTGTTAGAGCATTAGGAATTTTAGTATTTTTTTTATTCAAACCTGTAAACTTTGAATTTTAGTGTATTTACACTTATTATTTTTTTTTTAAATCAGATATTTTACTATGTATCATATTTTGACTTAAATTCTTGGTTATATTTATAGTTTAAAAACTATATGGATCAAAACATCAAACAAATCCATTTTTATTTATTTATTTTCCATCTGACATATATTTTTAAAAGCTCTCTTATCAGCAGTTTTTATGCCATCTTCATTTTGCAATAACTGTATGAATCAAACTGTAACATTAGCATTTCAAATGCAGATACTTTTTTTGGAAAATCTTAATCTGTAATGGTTCCTGTTTAAGATTTTTCAGCTATTTCCATCCCATCCCTAAGGAGTGAGATTGGGGGTCAAGTTTGGCATCATTGAATGTATGTTTTTAAAGTTTTTGATACATTTCTACTTTTTGCTCTGATGTTTGCTACTTGAGATCTTTCATTTTGGACACCTGTATTTTCATTTTAGCTAATATTTAGGTCAAATTTCATTGCAGCTAAAAATAATTTAATTGAGTAACAATTCTTTATGTTCTCTTGTAAAAGTTCATTACAGTTGGATCTAATTTTGTCCCTAGACTACATTGGCTATTGGCCTGACAAAAATAGCATTAGTAATAAATATATTATGGGTTAATCTCATTTTCCTATTCATATTAAAGACTTACTCCATACATAAAACTCTGAAGTGACCATTTGAGTGTAAAATTTTATTATTAGGAACATTGAATCTGTTTTTTGTGGTAGCTGTTTCTTAGCTTTGTGATAAATATCTGAAAATAATTTTACCCCTTTATCTACAACAATATCTAATTTACACTTGACATGTCTTCTGTTCTACTTTTTTATTTTGAGGTAAGTTTTTGACTTTATCAAAGTAACTCAAAAGATTTATTTTTAGATACAGTTTAAAATGAGTTTATGTGCTGTTATGTACTTCAAAACATGGAAATTGTACATGTAAATAATTTTATACTTTTAAAAAACTGCATTCTAATTATTTGAGCCATGAAAGTAAGCTTTTCATAGTATTTTAGTATAAATATTTTTTATTGCCTTTTAGTCTAAATAGTGCTATATTACAATTGCTATTATGTGCATTTAGTTTAGTACAGATTTTGTATTTATTCAGAAAATTAAATGTAATAAACCTAGTTTTCATTGAAGTAAATGTGTTTCACCCAAATTTTACATTACCTAGCTTCTTTCCTTTTTCATTTCTACCTGTTTTTCCAAAAGTTCCTTGCATTACAGTGTTTTTAATATATGTTTGTAATAAGGTAGGTTTTCTTTATTTGCATAATTAATCAAACTCACAAGCAACTTTTGCTTTATTTCTAATTAAAATCTAAGTAATAAAAATTTAAGATTGTGTCATAATTTTTTTTTAAAATGTGGATTGCATGTTTTTTTATAGATTTGCCTTACAATACTATGAATTCTAGGAAATTGTTCTTTAAGGAATAAATTTTGAGAAAGTTCCGAATTTTTAATAACATTATTTATTCTCTTTAGGGCAAAAGGATTTTTTAATGACTGGTATAATGTTGTTGATCTTGTTGTAGTAGTCATTTCATTTGTTGTAACTGTGATTTATACATCAGTTGACCTGGGATTTGGTTATGCAAAGTAAGTTTTGAATTGCTTCATTTTCTAAATGTTAATTCATTATTTTGGAGAAAAAAAAAGTTTTAAATGTTAGTATATTATCGTATTTTTCCTTATTCTAACTCTGCAGGAATTGTGAATTTTTAGCATGACTGTCTCAGAAATTTAAGAGCAGATTTTTAAATGTTTTTTCTTATTATGTCTTTTTGCTCACTAACATTTTGTTGCATGTGGTTTGATCGAATTATAAGTAAATTTTAAATAAAAAGTCATAAATTATGTTATTAAAATTATTGAACTGGTATGTAAACTTGTATATGTGATTCATTTTGACTTAAATTTTATCTTATTAACATTAAAAAAAATGTTGACTAGGACAAACAAGGACCCATATGTATTTTAACAAGGTGCTTTTTTTCTTTATAAAATAAAAACCTTTTTTTTTACCACTTTAATCATTTTAGGTATAAAAAAGTTTTAAACTTTTAATTATTATTAGACCAAATGAAGTAGCAAAAAAAAGAAAAAGAAAAAAAAGGAAGATTATTTAAATAACTATGACCCTTACTTTTACTCTTTGTATTTTCTTTGGTTCTTACTACTTTTGTTTTTGCTACTTTTAGTTTTTATTACTTTTACACCATTTGAACTAAGCAATACTATTTTGCAAGCATTTAGAATTTTTTTAAAAATACATATATAATCTTGAGGTGGCAGTCACGGGAGGGGCACAAAATCAGACAAAGCTACTCAAAAATGAATTTTTTTTTAATTTTGTAATGGAGAAACTATTAACTTCACACTAAAATTACTGTGTTTCACTATTAGTCTTAGGGAAAAGTTATACAAATGTTTACTATCATTTTTCAAGTCATATGCAAAAAGAGAAACATTATTAGTTGTAATTCTTTCATGAAATAGGTTGCTGGATTTCTCAAACTCTATAACATGGTTAAGGGAAAAACTGTTAATTGTAAAATTGTTAGTCCTGCTTTCTTTTATTTATTCTTAGAAAAGGATGTGAATTACTAATTATGTGGATGGGTTTAATTATAAATAAGGAATTAAGATAAAATTTAAATGAAGAATTACTAGGTTTGTTGAAGCATTTTATGTTGCTTCCCCTTCCTCAAAGTGTGTTTAACATTCTGTACTTAAATGTGTATTTCAATTTAAGGTGCCAGTTTGGTTATGTTTTAACAAATTTAAATTACGCTTAGTTTAGTTTATCTTTATGAACTGTATTTTTTCTTTTTAGACTTCAAATTTTTTTAAGCTTTTAGTTGGAATTATATGTGTCTATATTTAAAAAGATAGTATTTGTCATAATCAGGTGTTCGTTTCTTTGAAAGTTATTTTTAACTTGAATGTGTCCAGATACTATTAGTTATAAATTTTGTAGTTGGTCACTTTTTTGTCTATGCCCTGGGATTGATTCTCAACATTAAACAACACGGGCTTCCCAAGTTATTTTTGCTATTTTGACCTCATTGATAAGCATGGGTAATCCCTAGCTTATCACAATATTTACATGACCTAGGAGGCAACTCCTGAGAAACTTGTGCTGAAGGACTTGTTTGATTTTTATTTTTATTAACTTTGCCATTTTCCTTATAAGATCTGGATCTATTTTGGGGATAGTTGGTTGAGGTTTTAACTTGGTCGGGCAAAATTTTAAGTTCATTACTGATAATTATAATAATTTTAATTAACTGAATTGTTTATGAATGGCTGTCTTGGTGTCCAATTTTTGAAATTGGGGATTTAGTTGTCTATACGCACTAAATTTCGATTCTCGTGCTTTTTGTTTATTTTCATTTTGCAGCAGAGAGAACATCAGGATTTTAAAAGCATTTCCAAACCATTCAATAAAGGTTTTAGGTTCTTTCAAAACCAAAACTGTTGTAACTCTTGGGGATAAACCCATCGAAAACTCTTCAGTAATATGTGATAATGTGTTTTGCTTAAATTTATTTTTTGTCTTTAGATTGGCCATAAAATTTTAAATTTAGGAAATCACTGAAGCCTACTAGTGGGACAAAATAATGTTCCTGAAAAAAATTCAGTGACTCGTTCACAAGAATTACATTAAGCAATTATTTATGTACAGTTTAAGGCTGAACCCTGAATGAACTTTTGAAAATTTTTAAATTTCCACACCTCATCCAAATCGAAATCTGTTATTTGTTTCAGTAAATGTGAGCCAGACTGTAAATTGAACTCCAAAGTCTGGTTTGAACATCAATATGTTAGGTATTTTTTTCATTTTATTTTCATTTAATTTTAAATATCTGAAATCAGTATCTAATTAATTTTCACAATTTTCAATATAAATTAATACATTTTTTGATGTATTAGTATTGGAGAGTATTTCCTTAATAATGATTAAATCTTTTTCAGTATTATTCATACTTTGTAATTTTTACCACTTCTGAAGAGGATTTGAAATCTAAAAATCTAGTTATTAAATACTAAATTTAAGAGAAAAAATTTTAATATTTTAATTGCTAACTGCAATATTAAAACAAAAATTTCATTTTAACTATTATAAATATGTAACAATAAAATAGGTAATAAATCTACTTAAATATTTTTTTACTGATTATAGTACTCATATTACTGAATGAGGGGAGTTATTTTAAATGTCTGGTGACACATAGTCAAAATATGTACTAAATTTATAAATCTGCTTTGTTTTATTAAAAATTAAAAAGTTATTAGTTAAATTTTGTTTTATATCTAAACATAATTCTCCACAGACAATACTATAGATTGTATCAAGGTTATTATGTAAATGATGTGCATGTTACTGTGAATGACCGAAATCGGTGGTTGTTGACTTTCACCAGTGAATGTTGACAATCATTAGATTAGAAGAAACGTCAGTGTTTGGAGTATTGGGCATATATATACCGGGCAATGACACTTGACCTTAAAAAAGATATCAGTGTAGGGTATACCAGGCAGTGGCACTTAACTAGACCTTTGGTAAATGTCCGAAATATATACTAGGTCTAGTTAAGTGTCACTGCCCGGTATACCCTACACTGTTTTTTTAAGGTCAAGTGCCATTGGCCGGTATACATTTGCCTGGTATGCCCTACGCTGATGTTTCTTCTTATCTATCATCAGAAAGTATTAAAATATCGAATAAATGTAATTATATCCACGAATAAATTAATATCAAATCGGATGTAATAAATATTTCGAACATTCACCAAACCGACTGTGATTGTCAACATTCACCGGATTGTCAATAACCACTGATTTCGGTCATTCACAGTAACATACACATCATTTACATAATAACCTCATCAGGACGTTTCTTTCATACTTTACCGGTCTCTCATTTGGCATTCTATAAAATGCCTAGGCAATGTGTGAAATATAAATCATTTCATAATTTGCCGACTAGTTTTAGGTAGAACCCCTGAATTAGACAGGCCGACTCATCATCTATTTTTGCTCCAAAGAGCTAACATAAGCACAATACTAACATAACGTTAACTTGCGAACCTTTTTGCTCCAATATTGCTTGATAGGTCAGCTCTGATAGTATAGGAGCCTTAGTTTTAGGCATTATATAGAATGCCTAGGCATTCTATATAATGCCGGATTTCATATTTTGCCGGTAACATATACAAATAGTTAATGTGTAATTTTTTTGAAGTTCAATTTACAGAAAGAATAGAAATTCACAAACCTCGTAATTATCAGTTTTGCCTGCTATTTTATCTTAAGTTTATTAATGCAGGAAATATTTTTTATTTTTCCTTTGTAATATATTTTTTAGATGTATTTCTAAAACCAGAAGTGTATGCTGGTGCATTTTTACTCATTTAAGACAGCATATGTAAAAAAAGTTTGAAAATACCCTTTTATGTATAAAGAGCATTTTATATCCATGTCATTTAAATATTTCTTATATTTATTCTCCTTTTAATGTTTCCCTTATATTTTCCTTTTAGACTTGTTGTTGTGGGGCGTTTAATTAGAGTTGTAGGATTTGTTCGCTTATACACTGAAAGAAAAAATTTGGTTAAAGGTGCTCGCCAAATGGTATCTCAAAATAAAAGGAGATATCAAAAAGATGGTTTTGACTTAGATCTGACTTATGTTACAGGTAAAAATTTTTAAGTCTTATTTTTGTAAATAAAGCTCACACAATGAAATTAATGTAAAAGTGTTTGTATTTACCTCAGTTTAAATAAGTATGCTGCTGTTTCTTTTCTCCCATCTTCAATGCAGATCTAAGAATCTGTTGACATTCAAACAATTATACACAAGATGAGGAGACAAATCAATTTCCTCCCATGTGAGTGCCTAACAGTTCAATATATGCTTAGGTGAAGTCTGGTGTTTGTGTCACTATGTTTTTATACCCTTGAGAAATGTAAATTCTATAAATGGTCACTTGTGTGGTGCTTGATACAGGTACAGATTTTCCTGTTATAAAAGAGGATCAATGCTGGGCCTGGCCTACTACCCAGATACTAAATGGTGAGTAGGAGGTACCAACCAATCCTTCTTAATTTGAGATTGTTTCCTTGAAAAAAGCTTGAAATATGATAGTTCCAGAGTGGAAGCGGAAGAGAGGTAGCAGCCTGCTCTTGCATCTGCCAAGTCATTTCTATGTAAATTCACGTGGGAAGGAATCCATTGCATGTGTATATTATGCTGAAGTGAAATAAGTTTTAATTTATACATGGAGATGCTAGTCTTGTCCCCCATGTGGGTTCAGTTATTAAGAAATTGCATTGAGCTGTGGCAATTAGTTAGTATCCAAAGTATTTTGTCCATCAGTCAGTATTTTGTTTTTCAAAATTTTTTGTTGATTTAGATCATCATTTGGTTGTGTTGTAATTATTTGTGGAGCTTGTTTATCCTGCAATACATAACTCCATGGATAATGAGCTTATCTTACATTAAACTTATTAAAGCTTTTTTTTACTTTTTTGGTCACTATAACTCAAATAAAATTTTAAATTATTGTTTAATTTTTTACTTTATTATTTTAATTATGTTAATAATTATTTTGGTATTTTATTGTTTTCAATTTATTTTTTGCAGAAAGAGTAATAGCAATGTCTTTCCCATCTCATGGAAAAATGTCCCTATACAGAAATCCTATCAAAGTAAATTTCTTTTTAAATTATGAGATTTTGAGAATTTAACTTTTAACTGATTCTCTCTATAATTTTATTTTCGTAGGAAGTGGCACGTTTCCTGGATTATAAGCATAAAGATCACTATAAGGTGTACAATTTATGCAGTAAGTTAAATTTAAATATTATACCCTTTAAATATTTTTTTAAATAAAAATTAACTGGACCTTTTTTTTAAGGTGAAAAGACATATGATGATACTTATTTTCACGGCAGAGTTGAAAGATTCATTATTGATGATCATAATGTTCCGTCAATTAAGTGAGTGGACATGCTTTCGTTTAAAGTTCTTATTATGTTTCAGAAATAAAAGATTGATTGTACATTAAATTTCTCAGTGTAAGTTCAAGTAACTGATAACTTCAGTAACCTTTAAGAAAAATTGTTTTTTTTTTTCCAAGTAACTTTTGGATTTCTCAATCAGTTTGAAAATTCTTCATGTATGCAAAGGCTAAGTCATTCTTGTCACATGATTTTTTTTCACTATTTCATTAAATTGAAGCTTGCTTGTTTTGTTATAAATGTAGAATAATCTAGAGACTGTTTCATTTTAGTTTAAACCAAACTACCTTTCTCTGCAGAGTTTTGACAATCCAGCTTAATGCTTTTTATTTTAAATTAGATGTTTTAAAAATAGTGGTTGTGTTTAAAAATGAATTCTTTTGTAGAAAATTGAATTAACAGAAGTTTACATTGAGTGCAATAAAGAGAAATCTTAAGCAAAGAAAGAAATTTTGCACTCTGATTCTGAAATACTCTTTAACTCTATAATTTATTGATTAGAAATTTGGTGTTTATTAAATTATACGTGGTGATTTAATTTGTGTGGATTTAAAGTTTCTTTAAAAAAGCCTCATTACCATTTGAGGACTAGTGCCTTGCAGAAAAATTAACAATCTTTAGACAACATAAAAAGTTTTTAATAGATTAGTTTTTATGTAGAGTTTAATGAGCATAAAATGTGATAACTTGCGTACATAAAAAGCTGCTCTATATGAGTATTAAACAAATTCTCTTAAAAATATTTAAACAGGTTATGATTGATTTGTTTTAATCAGATAATAGTTAAAAATTAAAACACAATTTGTTTTCTGATTCTCGTGGTTTTCTTCCTCTGGACAATTTCCAGTTCTTTTTATAGCTACCCAAGATGAAAATGTTTTATGGTTTCTTTGATGAACCAACATAGTTTTCAATCAAAAACCATCATGCTTGCCATCAAAACTACACAAAAAAGCTATAATTAAAATGTGAGCTTTTTGGAAACTTAGAAATTGCATGCAATTAAATTGGACAAAATGCAAGACTGTTACTTGTGATTTTGTGATAAAAATAATTGCATTAATCTTTTATCCTTAATTTCATTACAAATTGTGGATTTTGCATCTCAAATCAAAGTTTCAATACTTTTTTGAAACACATTTAAGTGATTTTATTACAACTTGTATGAGGAGTTTAATGAGCATAATATGTGATAACTTGCATACATGAAAAACTGCTCTGTATGAGTATTAAACAAATTGTCTTAAAAATATTTAAACAGGTTATGATTGATTTGTTTACACATTCAAAAAGTTTAAAACACATTTAAGTGATTTTATTACAACTTGTATGAGGATAGTTTAAAATAACCAATGTGTATGAGAATAGTTTAAAATAACCTTAACTAAAGTGATTTACTATTTTTTATTCAGTTTTTTCAGGTCATGCTCAATTTATTTTAAACATAGATTTTATGTAGAAAAGTTATTATTAATATACAATATTCAGTTTAATTTCATTAAACTTTCCAGGATAGCACCAAACTTGGCTTCTAAAGTGTTGAAATTTGTTTATAATTGTTTTCATTTTCTTTGCTGTTTCTAATATGTTAGTAAATACTCATTGTGAATATAATGTTAATTAATGTTCCTATTGTTAGTTTTATTAAATTTATTTTTTTTTAAATAATAATTTTCTATTTAATTTTTATTTAAATGTAATCTCTATTTTTGTCTAGGGACATGGTGCGGTTTGTTAAAGATGTGAGAGAATGGCTAGACCAAGATAAGAACAATGTTATTGCTGTTCATTGTAAAGGTGGAAAAGGAAGAACTGGCACAATGATCTGTGTTTGGCTTGTTGAAGCTGGTCTTTTTGGCAGTGCTGAAGTTAGTTGAAGTTTTGAACTTTTAACTTTTTGAATACTTAAAATCATATTTTCTTTTTTCATAAGTTTTTATTAAAAAGAGAATCTACTTCATGCTAATTGTTAACAACTGTGAGTTACCATTAGCAGAACACTTCTGACAGGATTTAGATGAGCTTATTGACTAATATTTCCTAAACGTCTGTACACGGTTTTCTTTGAAACTGTCATACCCGTTGGCGCATATAGTTGAAGAGGCTGGTCCTGTGTTCTATCTGTTTCTTTTGGCTGTTTCTGCTGAATGCCTGGTTTTCTTGGCATTATTATTTGGAGAGGGGGTAATCTGTACTGTAATTTCTATTAACATTTCTTTCATTTTAGAATCATTGCCAAAGTCCAAACATGACACTTTTGGCAATTCCAAGTTGCTTGGATGCTTCCACCTGAGTTCACCCTCATTCTAGGCAGCCAATAATTCGACCGGATAAAAAATTATTCATATGCATCCTCTGTGTCCTAACTACCTAGTTATGACTATGAGTGGCTTACTGAACATTTGTGAACAATTTCACTTCTCCACCATTTCTGATGCGCCAAAAAAACTGGACCACCCTGAATAACTTTTAATCTATGATTGGATCTTCTCCTTCTAGGACTCAATCTTAATAGTTTGAGGGTTTGATTTCAAATATGCTAATTATTTAGTGCAGACGATATTTTAAGTTATGAAATCAGACACAAAAACATACTCTCTCTGAATAAGCATACCTTTTTTTCAATGGATTTGCATTTCTAACCCCCAAAATATAGAGGGTAGCTTCAAACTCAGAAGCATGGTCCTAATAGTTTGGTTAAGAGAACCCTTCAATGGACCCTTCTTGGACCCCTTAATGTTAGTTTTACTTTTTTTGACTATTTAATAAAATAATAAATATTTACTGATATTTATTTTTTGCATAGAATTCATTTTGGATAAAGGAATTCTATAACTGTGTGCAGAATTTTTTCCATTCGCTTAAAATGTTCTGGAGATATAATAAAATACTCAAAAAGTTAAATTAGCATTAAGGGGTTCAAACTTTGAAACACGCTCTTGATCAAACTATGGGAACCTTATTTCACAGATTGCAGCTATCCCTCATATTTTGGGGGTCAAAAATCCTAATCCGTTGAATAAAGGATGTTTATTCAAAGAAAGTTTGTTTTTCTCTGATTTTGTAACTTGAAACATTGTCTTCCCTTAACAACTAGCATATTTGAGGTCACCCCTTTGAACCATTAAGAATGAGTTTTAGGATGTGAAGATCTAATCATTTGAGCAAAAGTTTTCTCAGGGGGTCTGTTTTTTTGGCACACTGTACTTACATACACTTAATGAAAGCTGACCAAACTGTATAGTTGTGAGGGAGCTGACATCACTCAGAAATGTCCTGGGTTCGAATCCCGGACAAGACATGGATGTTCTTTCATTCTCTGTACTATCTCTCCTTACTGTGGAGCAATGTTGGCCCACCTAATATGGTACCCTTAAAGAGTGACCAACAAATCTGCCCTACTGATGCCTGAATGAAAAATGTCAATCACGTTGGCATTGGAAGGAAAATTAATATTTAATAACTTTAACTTTTGTATTTTTTCCTTAATTTTGAAATTTCACCCCCATGAATTAAATATTTTTTATAGTTAATGTTAGATTCCTTTAAATAATTATTTATTTTGCGTTTGCATAATTAAAATAGTTATTAAATTGAGATATCGTGTAGTAATGCATTGGTATTGTATTTAGTATTGCATCTCAATGTAAGAAAACTTCATATTTTTAAATATTTTTTTTTTCTGTCTAATTATTAAATTTATTCATCATTGTATTTAAGTAAACCATAATACATCATTATGTATGTTTGTTCCTACCTTAGGTGCAATGTAACACTTGAAATATTTATATTATTTTACTTTGTTAAAGCCTGAGGTCCTTGTATGAGGATCTAAAATTAATAACCCTCTGGCAATTATTGTGACTTATGACAATAATATAGAAATTCGGAACTGTAAAATACGTTTTTTTTTGCTATAGTCCTTTATACTTCAGTAGTGAAGAGGATGTAAAAGAATCATTGGTATTAAAAAGTGCCAGTATGTAAAAATATAATCGTCCAAATTAACACTTTTTTTACATTAAAAATAATTACCTTAAAAGAGAAGTATATTAAAAATGCAGGTTAACTTGAGGAGCAATATTGATGTCATGTTACTCAATATAAGAAATGCCTTTTAAAATAATGTATGAATATTGATGTATGAAATATTTCATTCTACCTACTTAGCACACTTTCCAAATCCTTTAAACTTATCACTTTATCCTTTTAAACAGTTATGAAAGCTTTTTCACAAACTTACTTTGCCTAATCAAGGTTCTCAATAATCGCCAAAATAATTTAAATGGTTACATGCAATACTTCTAGTGTTAATAAGCTTTTCAAAAAACATTCTTGATTACCACAATAATTTTCAAGTACCGAAATCTTACAGGAGAATGTGTAGATCTGAGGATTAGATCAGAAGTTATTCCGGGTGGCCTGTTTTTTTTTGTTGCCACACTGTACATGAGTGTATTTTATATTTTTCTGAAAATGATATTGCATACTTATAATTGAAAACATTTAGCTATTCTGTATTTATTATCAGCTGTTGCTATTTATTATTTAAATTCAATGATAGCCTTAATAAACAATTTATAAACCCAACTGAAGGACTTCCTGGTGTTTACTTCCATCAACACCTTTCATCACAAGTTAACAAGAAATTGGATCACCCAGTATTGCTTAAACAACTTGCTTTGGAGGTTATAAATACTATCCCCAAACACTCAATACTGGTGTACAGACGGATGCATCATCATCTGGCAGCGGTGTCTACATTAAATCAATTAATTACTCCTTTAACTTCACCAAAAGGAATCCCGATTGCTGCCCAGTTTTTAGAAGTGAACTCATTGCTATTGATACTGCCCTGGATTCTCTTCTAACACTACAGGATCACGATAATATCTGGATACTCTCTGACAGTCTCAGTTCCATACAGTACTTATCGCATTGGAGGAAAGTGAGAGACAAAATAGGAGCTTCAATCCTGCACAAACTTAAAACCCTCTCACGACTGTGTGAAGTCCACCTCCAGTGGATCTCTTCTCATGTCTGGGTTCAGGGCAATGATATCGCCGACACTCTGGCTAAGGAGGGGACAGAAGAAACTTTGAGTACAAATTCACTCACCTTCATGGGACTGGCATCGAAAAAGAAAAATGAAGACAATGTTTCCTGGCTCGTACCCCCAAACGTCACTGGTATCTGAACACCCGTCCAGGAGGTGTACTCAACATTCGGTGGAACCGCAAGGATCAGACGGCTCTTACCAGCGGCCACCTTAAGTCTTTTTCGTTCGAGGGTAGTGTTGAAATCTTCCCAAACTGCTCCAGGTGCCACAACATGCAGGCTTCTCCCCAACATATCCTGGACTGTCTTGGACTGGACAAGAGAACACTTGGACTGGACAAGAGAACACTTGGACTGGACATTCTAGAAAACCCACTTTTGGTGGCCGACTTCCTCCGGGTCATGAATTTCATGGATATTGTTTAGCCCTGCTAATTTTGGGGATTAGGAAGAAGAAATTCAATGATTGTATATAAGTGTAATTGTAAAACATTATAGTTAACTTTTGTTATACATTTTTAATCTTCTATCAACAGTTTATCAAAGTTCAACAATTTATTAAAGAATTATTTATTTCTAAAAAATGCATTAATGGTTTAAGTTTATTGAACATTAAATTAAATATAAATTTAAGAGTTTTTTAAAAATTGTGAAAACGCTTTTTTGTACAAGTCTTTAAGATTCAAGTCATTAATGAATTAAGTTGTTGCCTGAAATTGAATTAAAGCCACATCATGGAGTGGGTATTCACTCTTCTAGTGATAGATGCTTGTTTTTTAGGGATTTATTCTTTTGGAGATTATTTTAGCGTGCCTTAAGTAGGTTTTATTTTAAACCTGTATGAATATCATAGAATTTTAAGATCATGATTGTATATTTATATCATATTTTTCTTTAGGCAAGCTTGGATTATTTTGGAAATCGTCGAACTGATCTTTCAAAAAGTAATAAATTCCAAGGTGTGGAAACTCCTAGTCAGGTAAATTTAGAGGTTTTGTAACATGATTTTTAAGAACTATTGTAAGATGCTTAAAGTTTATATTTTTTTTAGAATCGTTATGTTGGTTACTTTCAAGAAGTTAAAGAAAAATTTAAAGGATTACCACCTGAAGAAATACCTTTAAAGTTAAGAAAAATCAGAATAACTGCTTTAGCTGGTAAAAACTATTTTGTACTCTTTCATCACTAAGTAACTTTTTGATGTAAATGGAATAATACATAAATTATAACTCTTATCAGATTTTAATCTCTGCTGTTCACATTATTTAGTAATGAAGTTAGAAGAGCATATTCAAAATAAGTCTGTGTAATTCTTAAAAAATGCAAATGGCTGTTTCATATTCCAGGCGAAATTTACTAAACATGGTCAATTAAAGTAGTCACTTGGTTATTGAATTAAGAGTTGAATAGTGAAGATTTTAAATTACCATGTCATGACAGAAATAATATCAGAACCTGGTTAACTATTATATGATTTACCTGGTAGACAGAACCTTTAGAATTAATATCAGATAAATTTGAAGGGATATAAAAATGAATAAAAAAATTAGACAAATACTAAGTAATTTTATTTAACACTAGAGAGAAAATTATTTTTGAATTAAAAAGATCTCTCCTTTAAACATGAACTACTTTCACATGGACAACTAGTCAAATTTTCATTTTGTGGCATAGCTGAATTAGCTGTTAACCAATCATAAAGCTAAAGCTTATAGTGTTCTTATAAAGTTCCTTTTTTTGCTCTGAATATAATCAAAAACCAGCACTGAATCTTGTGAGGATGTTTTCCCTTTCTCAACCATAAACAGAGCAGAGCTTGTTATAGAATAAAAGTGGTTGAATCTCTTTCCTTGCTACAGAATTCACCTTACTTATGAGGGAAACATGAACATTCAAATGGAAACACTTAAGAGGATCTGCCCTGTTCATGTTGTGTATTACTTATTGTCATAGAATTATTGTTTTATAAAATATATGATATGAAGATATTTACAGAAGCTTTATGAGTATGAGAGGATTGCTCTATAATCTTAGATGTTTGGTTTTCTTAACTTTTTATCCCTGGGGTTGAACTTTATCTTCCTTTCTAATTAACACAATGCAAATAAGTTTCATGTTGTCTGTCTCTATTATTAAAATTGAAAGGTAAATGTTTCAATAAGTCTTAAATTAGTTTAGATTGTATTTGAATTATTTGATGCTAGAAGTTTTTTTTTTTAAATATATGTATGTAAAACAGATCAGGTGATTCAGTTGTCTTGAAATTCTGTTTTGTCACATTTTCCTTGATGTTCTCAAGTCTTGATTTTTGAAACTTTTTCTTTCATAATTTTTCAGTCTTTTATATTTAGGTATAGGAAAAGGAAATGGCTCAGATATCACTTGTGAAATCTTTAATGGCCGCACTAAAGTATTTGACTGTGATTTCGGATCAAACAAGAATTGCCAGGTAAGTTTTTAAATTGTTTTATTCTCATGTTATTTTTATAACATGAATTTTGTGTCATTCTGAACTAAATTCTTCCCTTCTTCGTGCACATATTGCCAATGTCTTATTTTTCAATTGCTTTAATATTTGTTTGTAACCCTTATAACTAACTGATCTAATATTTTTGAAACTTTTTTAATCCTAATATATTTTTCTAGTCCTGAGGAAATATGTTAAATGAGAATTGTTGTCAAATTATAGAATACTCTTTCATTGTTGAATCACAGAAACAAAGGCGATGTAAAGATATTATTTCTATTTAAATCATAAATATTTGTATTATCAATTAGTATGTATGAGTTGGGCAAAATAATGGAAACACTTCTATACTATCTTATTTTTATTATCTTTCTCAAAAAATACTTAGAGAATCATTTTATAAATTTTGAAATGGAAATATGGGTATTTTTATTGAAAACATGGTATTTTTTTTTTGTTTTATGTATTTTTGCTATAACTCTCAAAATATTCAATAAAATCAAACAAAATTTTTGGAGAAATATGAAATGAATTAAAAAATGTTTGCTTTAAAATTTGAGAATTTTTTTTCAAAAACTGTGCAAGATATGAGTAATTAAAATAGCTCTTTTATACTGTGCATGCGTGTGAAAAATAATTTTTTTTCTTGATTTTGTAGTGAATCGTATTTAGCATTCAAAAAGAAAAAAATCAGATTTTAATATCTTTTAAAAAGTTTCAAACATTTTTCTAAGTAGTTTTCATGTATTTTATAAGAAAGCTCAAAATAAGTGATTTTTCCACAAATTTCATTTTGTACTGTTAAACAAGATTTATTAAAAATTACACCAGCAATATTGGGAATTATCCCCCATAGAAGTGTCTTTTGCATGTTTTCTTTCCCTATACAATCATATTTCGATATATGAACTTTTTTTGTTGGGTATTATTATTTATTTAATTTTGCCTTATGATGCAGTACAATTTTTGAAGAAAACCCCTAATTATTTTGAGATTCTTTTAAAAAATACAAAAACTACTTAGAAAATTGCTTGAATCTTCTTAAATTTTTAAGATATTAAAATCAGATTTTTTATTTCATTAGTTGCCAAATAGTAATCTCTACAAAATAATGAAAAAAACATCTTAAATATTTTCCGTGCATGCCTAGTATTACTTTAATTACATTGTACAGTTTTCATTAAAAAAAATTCAAATTTCGTAGCAAACATTTTTTAACTTATTTTAAATTGCTTTGAAAATTTTATTTAATTTTATTGAATATTTTTAAAGTTATAGTTAAAAAACCTAAGATAAAAAAGAATTTTTTTCTAAAAATGTTTATATTTTCATAAATATTTAAGCTGAACTTATAAAATTTTGTGCAATTTAACTTTGTTAATTTAATTTTGTGCATATAATAATCAAAATAGTTTTTGCACGGTACAAATTTATTGCTACATTTTTGGGCACAGGGTGTTCAAAGACACTATTTTCCATTTGTAATTTATTGTCAGTCTCTCAAACCTCTAAAAGCTTTTAACTTCATTGATGTGTTGGAGAAATCGCTTGAAATAAACACTTCTGAAGTTATAAGATGATTCTTTCCTTATTTATTTTTACTTCTGACTATTTATTTATTTACTTATTCTTTACTTTTTAAACATGAAAAATATGTTTTAGTATAGAAGTATTTCTACTATTTTGTCCAACCCCTGTATATACGTACAGATTTAATTTTTTTTCTATTTAAATAGAGTGCTTGTTAAATGCTTTGATGAAAGATTTTGTAGAAAACATAAAAATTGGTTCCAGCTATTTTGTACACCTAAACTTGGATCTTAAGAAAATTCTATTGATCAATTTATAGTTAACTTAAGGTGAATTTTGTGAGAAAATTTTCACGAATTACCAAACTCAATGAAATATAGGATTAAAACAAAACAAATTTTTTGAAAATCTATTCAGCATTTTGTGAGTATGTTGTATATCATGTGTTAAATTTTGCTCTATCCTAGAAAGATTTTCCCAAGTAGTAGTAAATTCAAAATCGAAATATCACTTCTAAGAAAAATTATTGTAAAATGTTACCAGTGCTTAAAGACTCCATCACATAATATCGTACAATTATATTAAAAAGTAAAGCTTACTTGCTACAGCTCCCATTAAGCCAGGGGGTCATGAAGGCTAAGGCTCTACAATTTCTTAATGGCATGATTGTGGCAATGTTTTTAGACTTGCGAATATGCTGCCTTTATTTTTCAGACAAGCTGGTATCCATTGATCTATAGCTTGGTGAGCTTTAAGTCACCACTGAGGTTCAAACCACAGTTCTTCACAATGACAGTTTAGTGCCTTCCCCACTAAGCTATTCTGGTTCTATACATTTATATATTATACTTAATTTATTTATATCTAGAGGTGGTTAAAATTATCTTAAATTAAATTTATAAATCCCAGAATGAGATAGAAAATCATACATTTTGCAATCAATTTGAATATAATATTAAAATCTTCTAAAAGATACATAAAAATTGGCAGCTATTGTGTATCAAATTTGGACATTTTTCGAAGACCAAGATAGAACATCCAACTTCTTAAAATGCGTAAATCAAAAATGATTTTTTGGCAAGTGTAAAGTTTGTAATGATTTTTAATAAGCATTTTTTAAAAGTAATTTACTAAACTGTATACAAAGGTTTTTGGAGTCGCACTTTTATAATCAGTTTCTCATTTTGTTTGTTGCCGCAGTGTAGATAATAAATTAAACTTGTTTTATCTTGATACAGTTTTTAAAGGTAAATGCTATACTTAGAAAAGAACATTTTAAATACAATAAATAATCTAATCACCAAAATTTATTTGAATGCATAAGTATGTTAACTGAGGTTCATATGTTTACAGTCTCGGCCATATATTTACAGTTTACAGCAATTTTCAGATATTTAATTCAAATTTTGTCATAAACTTTGTGTAGGAATTTGATTTTTTAACTTCTCAATGGAAAAAACCTCATGAAACAGTTTAGGAAAAAATAGATTACTGCCTTTTGAAGTTGAAGAAATATTTTCTAATTAACTCATCTTAAATACTGTTTATGTACTAACTACTTCTCATTGGCCAAACAATCTATGAGGTTGGACCCTTCCTTGGGGCAGCTTTTCATTCTTCATGCTTCCCGGTCTAGTTCTTGATTTTTAACATTTTAAAGTCTTCTTCGACATCTACCAACCTTCTTCCCCATGACTTATAGCCACCAGATTTTAAATCAGTCTTTGTTACAGTTTTGTTTGTTCTCTTCTGCTGAAAATGACCCATTACATTCTGTCTCCTTATCTTTATATCTGTGACAGTATCAATGTTACCCTGCTTTTTTTATAATTTCCAAATAGTTACTATTTCTCAATTTTTATTGACAGGTTCAAAAATTTTCCTTGTATTTTTGTCGTAGATAAAGGATCTTAATCTTCCATCAAATTTATGAAATAAAATTAATGGTAATCTCCTTTAACTACCATATTTCTAAACAAGAAGAACCTTTATAGAATGTTCTTTGAACTGAAAGTCTCACAGAATTTACATTAATTTAAACCTCTGAACAGTGATTTTCATTCTAGGGCCAACCATTGCTAGCATGAACTTTATTTTATAATGTATGATTTTGTTCAGTTTATCTCAAACTTCCAATAGTTTAGACTAATTATTAGCATAGACTTTTTCCTCGTGAATCCCAATCCATGTAAAAGCACAATTTTAATATAATATGAATTGCTAGCAAAACTGTGCTTTATATTCCAAGGTGGCCACCCACCTTGCAAACCTGGATTTATCAGGGAATTTTTTTATGCTGGAAAAATCTCTTTTGATACAAAATTCGAACTGTGTAGTAATCACAATGTCGAAAGCTGGTATATGTTTGCATTCCTGAGATTGATATTTCCGAAACTATTCATTCTCTTACCTTAAAAAGCTGGCAAAAACTAGAGAATGTATGGGAAACATGTTAAATGATGTATGAATATAGAATATATATATAAAAAATTATTTATATGTGTTTATTAAGAAGGAAAAACAAAATTTAGTTTTTTGTTCTTTACTTTAGATATTGGTTTGAAGTAAATATGATAATGAATTTTATAAAGAGCACTATTTGGATGAAATACACTGTAAAAGGGCTCTATATTAAAATATAAATGAATATAAAAATTTATTGATGTATATTTGCCTGGAATTATTTTCTTTTGCTTCATGAAAATTTATCAAACAATTCTTTTCCAAGGCTTTTTGGTGACTCAGTATTTGCAATTTTGTACAATCTGTGCAAAAACTTCTTAAAGTAACACATTAAAAACCTTTTTTATTCTATAAAAACAATATATTCTATAAACTGAACATATTATTTTGTCAATCTTAGTTTTTGAAAATTAATGATGCACCAAAACAATAAAAATTTAAATAAAAAAACAAAATCTTCTTCAGTTGTTAAAATAAATTTAGTCTAATTATTTTTCCAAGATATATTAAAATAATAACATTTTATATGAAAAACTTTATAATATTGAAACTTTTTCTTGTTCCCATCCTACACTTAATGAGGGAAAAAACTATGATGACTTGGAAATTCTAGGATTTTGACCTTGAAAACCTGGAAAAATCAGGAAAAATTTGAAATCTGATATGAGTGGCCACCCTGATATTCTTTTACATATTTAAAAAACTGTTGTCACCTAATTATGCCACCTTCCTCTGTCAAAGATTACTTAGTGTCTAAACTGAAAGTATACTGTAGAGACTAAAATAATATATTATTTTTTTAATAATGAACAATAAACACATATATATTAAAAATACTAAACACATACAATAAAACTAGACTTCAATTTTCAAAATTACTTGGCATAAGCATCTGTACTAGTTGATAGATTGTCTCAATTCCATTGCCAATATTCTATCAATCCAAATGCAAGATTATCTGGGTGATTTTCTGTTGTAAGTAAGCTCCACTAAATGAACAATTTTACTTAAACCCCTTTCTGTAATATTTTATAGGACCGGAAATCATTCTTAATAAAATTTAGATAATTGTAAGTTTTATTCTATTTATATTTATTTACTTTTATTTATGTACTCATTTTTTTTAAACTGCACAGTTGTGATTGTTCGGGCTACCATTCAGTTAGTTTAGTTTTTTATGAAAAAAAATTCTTGAATGTTTTTCTTTTTACAGGCTGAATATAAATCAGAAGCAGATGTATTGGAAGTTTCTGTTTTAAATTGTCCTAATCTTCAAGGTGATGTTAAGCTTAGGTTCCAAAGCTCATCTGTAAGTTGATTATTTCTTTGAGAATTTTATTACGAAAGTTTATTTTAAACTGGAATATTTTCTAATAGAATCCATGAAAAATTTACCTATCTGAATAAGTTCATTTAATATTAAAGTTTATTTGCTACATTACTTTTCTACTTATAGAAAGGAGTTCCTAAAGGCTATGAAAATTGTCCGTTTTACTTTTGGTTCCACACCAGTTTTATAAAAGATTTTAAGTAAGTTTTTCACTTTATTTTCCAATTACTGATTGCTTCATAAATTCCTTTCTTGCTCAGTTATATTTTTAAAACTGTAGTATAAATTATTCTTTCCATATAGAGTTTCTGGTTTAATAAGGAAAGTAATTGTAAAACATGTTCAGAATCAAGTGTATATGTAATTTAATTAAACAGAAATCAATCCAAAAAAAGTTTGCATTTTTTAAATTTTTGGCAAGGTTGTAGGAAAGAGTTCTGAATAACATACTGAAGGTCCCCACTAACACATGCTCAGGGTCTTGTAAATTATCAACTTCTTCTATTTTTACAGTTTTTCATGAATATCCAAATGCAAGCACTAGCAGAAAAATATTAAGCATAAAAATGTACCCAAAATTCTCTGCAAAAAAACAGATTTATTTTCTGCAAATTAAACATTTTAGTAATTAATAGGGTACTAGAAAGCAAAAAAGTTTTATTTTCAGTTTTCTTTAAATGTTTTAATTTTTAGCCCTAGCTGTTAGTGCAAACTAATTCATTCATGAAAAATGTATGTAAAAATACTACTGCATGTACAATTTCTAAAAAACTAACATGAAACATTTTTGATTAGGATTATTAGCTACTGAAAAATATTGTTATAGTTTGAGCAGGAAACAAATATATATAAAAAATTAAAAAAAACTTTAACAGATTTGTTGTGTTTTAAGTGATATTGATTGTTTTAAGTGATATTGTTATATTGAGTTTCCATTCATATGGGATGCTGATTTTGGGGATCATTTTTTTAAAGGTTAACAAAACTCAAAAATTATGAGGAACAGGAAAAAATTAATATACAAGCTACATGAAATTAACTATTAAAATATTATCGGCTTTTCTCTGATATTAGTATATATATTTTTTTAAATGATAGTTTCCTGCTTGTTTATCAAGTGTCAAAGATTACAACTTGTTCTTTACATTTTTATATATAGATTTAGTATAGCTTTTTGATTTTTAATTAATATGTTAATATTTTGCTAAAATTGCTCTTATTTTTGTGTAAGTAATAAAGAAACATTTAAATTTTACTTAAAAAAAACAAAAGTTTCAAAATTAAACAAAAATAATGTCAAATGCAGACAGTACTTTATTTTAATTTTTTTATCTTGTTTTTTCAGTCTGTTTTTGTTTTAAAACTTATCTTGAATTAAACCTTTTATACTATTTTAAATATTATTTGAACTAGATCAAATGTTCAAGCATTGAACTTACAAATTTTAATTTGAGAGTCTGAATGTTTCGTGTCGTATTGTTTTGTTTCGTCTTAATGTTAAGTTATTTTCTCAGTTTGTCTAAGTGTTTTTATTCCTTTTTATTTAGCTTAAAAGTAAGTTTTTTTAATGAGAAATTAAGTTGTAATATCAAAATATTTTTCTGGAATTCAAATTCTGTTTCTTTTTTATAAAACTTATTATTATCTATTAAAAAATATAAGTGATTCACAGACAATTTTTATTACAGATTACATAAAATTGAAAACTTCAAAATGATTCATGCACCAATCTTATTACTAAATCTCTCAGTTTATCATTTGAACTGTATATTTAATTAAACATTGAATCTAAGCAAAAAAAGTTGAATTTAGATTTTAGAAATGTACTATTCATAAAAATTTTTCTATAATGTACTAATTTGCCTAACCTGGAAAAAATTTAAAGTAGCCTTGACATTTGTCTGGAAAATCTAAGAAGGTCTTAAATTTAAATGTAAATTACAAACGGGAATCCTGACTAAATTAAATACCATTATGTGTTTGCAAAGCATATTTTCATCAAAACACGTTGAATATTTTTAATCTAAAATAAATGCTAATTTTTGGATTTCATTTTAGGTTGTGTGTGCAAAGAGATTATTTGGATAATCCCCACAAGCCGAAAACATGGAAGGTGTTTAGAGAGAAACTTAGTATTGAACTGTCATTCACTCCACCTGATGATAATCTATGATGTCATTAAATTAAAATATAATTATATATGTACTTTAATGGCCATTAATTATTTAAGACAATGGATAATAATTGTTAAGGGTTTATTTTCATCATATTTAGTAGCTACATAAGCTATAAATTGATGCATTTTATAAGTTTTCATTGCTTGCTGATTGGTCAAGAGGTATAGATATAATATTGATATATAGTAAGAATTATACAATTAAAGCAGGGTAAAAAAATTGCTGAGCTTAATATATTGCAAATATATATCTAAAAAAATTATTCTACTTTTATATATATTTGCTCTAAATATCTTTCCTATCAATAAACATTGCTTTTAATTTAAGCTACTATTTTTATACTCTAAATGTTCATTTGGAAGGCATATCATTTGTAAAGTATATCAGACAGCATTAAAATAATAAAAGTAGAATAAATTATCATTTAAATCAACTTTTTTCCTTTAATGATGTCTTTTAATGTATGAGTTTTATTGACTGCAGCTGTACAGATTTTATAATGCAAAGATCTCATGTTTCAGCTATTGTATATTTTCACTACAAAGTCTCATTTTTATGTTATTTATTGTATAAACACTATTTTTATTTCAAATATGTAATTTATTTCCATAAAAGCTATTTTTGTACAGTTGTTGCTTTTATGTGATTGGTAGCTTAAATATTTACTTTAAATTATTATTTAAATGTGGTGTTTTTTTTACCAGTTATAACATTCCATACAGTTCCTAAATTTACTTAGTATTTTTCAAATATTTGCATTTAAATGTTTGCTATTTGGTGATTGATTTTTGTTTCAAACATTTTATGTGAAGTTAAAAAAAATTGCAGTGTAATATTTTGTTTACATTTTGTTGCATTAGTTTTTACATCAGTGATTTTATTAATATGGTTTATATTTTTTTGTATTCTTTTTCAAAATATGCAGCAATATAAATGGTCACCTTTCTTTCATAAAAATAAAATTTTTTCTGAGAATCTCAAATTTGTGTTATTTATTTTTTTATTGTTTAACTTTGATTTAGGAATATAAAAGCAATTTTAAGAAAAATACATGGAGCTACCTTCTGGACAACACTTGAATAGACAAAATAGACAGCGCTTGAATTTTTTACATTTTGAGAAGTTTTTGATTTTTATCTTGTTATTCAACCTTACAGCGGAAACTAAAATATTTCCCTATATCTTGTTTTAATTTCAAGAATTTACTTTCCACTCCTGGATAGGGAGGTGTTTTCTTCACTCCGAAAGTTGTTATGAAACTGGCTTACCATTTTCTTAACCAGAAAGATTGAGGTAAATGTTGACATTAAGAAGGAAATAGTTCAGATGCTCCGTGCATCAACCATTGTCTGTAAAAACCTGAAACCATTTCATTGAAAGTAGTTGTTCTAATAAAATAATCAAAGATCAATATTAGGTTTTGAAAATTTTTTCAAAAAATATACATCTTTCAAAATTTTAAAGCAATGAAATGAGTTTTGGATATAAGTATATATAATCTGCAGTAAATCTTATATATTGTTTAAAATAGGTTTAGAACAAGCCTTCAATTGAGATGCTAGTCTCAAACCAAATTTTAAATTACTGTTCCAAAGAAAGTATGCTTTTAAGGAATGATTTTTTTTCCAATTACAATTGTTAAAAAATGTCTTGCAGTATTAATTTTATAAAATCAGCATTTAATATTATGTTCAGTTCATCATGTATTAAATTTTTAGTAAAGTAGGAAAAAAGTTTCATACAAATTTAGTTTTATTTCTAAGCATATCGCATGTTTATAATGAATGTCTTTTTAAACAGTTAATGTTTAAAATGTTAAAAATTTTGTGATTTGAATTTTCAACTTAATCTGGGATTTATTTACTATTTGTTGTAATAGTCTAAGGTTGATACAAAAGTGTGCATCATTTCAAAAGAAATAGAGGATTTAAAAGTATCTAGAATATTAAATAATTAATAGTATAAAAACAACTGTTAGATAAACAACTGATGTATATTAAAAATAACTGTTTTATCAAGCAAATTTGAAGAAATCACTTTTCGTTTCAGCTGCTTATTGCAAAAAACTGGAAATTTAAATGTTACTTTAAGGTTAAAAGCATGCCGCATATTTCTTAAAAAAAAGTTTTTTAAAATGTGTTGAGAAAAAATGCCTTGACATATATTTAAAAAAGTGCATGAAGACTGAACTGTTCTTTGTGCCATTACAAAAATTCTGTGTTTTAGCAAAAATAATAATAATCCAACTTATCCATAAAATACATTTACTAAAATAGCATAAAATTCAATGTTTGCTTTTTAGCAGTAACAATTGTGAAATAAAGATTTTTTAAATTAAAATTTTTGACGGCTACTGATCACCAACATTATTAATATAATGTGTTTAATTAAGGTTTAAAAATTGCTTTTGCCTAAAACAGGCTACATGTGACATTTTTCAGCAACTAAGGTGAAAATTGTATTTTTTTTAATAAGATGCGTGTCTTTTTTGCATTAACTCTCAATTGATCACCTATAGAAATATTTAGATAAAACACACTATAATCTGAACTATATATAAAATATGAAGATGATATTAAATGTTTGTAAATTCATAATAATCTGATAAGATGTGAGATAAAATAACTTTGCTTTGAAGAACCAAATTTGAATTTATTTTTTACTGTTCCCTGTCAAAAGTCTCAGGCATAAAGGTTGAAGCAGAATTTTTAGTTTATTTACTCTAAGAGGGTCATGTTTTGTTTTTCTTACTCATCTTGGAATGTTTATTACTTTAAACCACTTTTGTTTTATTAAATTTTGTAGGAAGATAAACATCCTGTTACTGCTTTAAGAGGATGCTATATCATGGATAAGCACTTCATAAAGAATTATTTTTAAACTGCTTTGGTAATTTGAAATTTATAGAAAAATTATATAGAAGTATAGAAAATAATGAGTTCTTATAATCAAAGTAAACTATGATGTTTCAAATGATGAAAAGGGTTTTCTTCAAAATATCAAATTGTTAACTAGTGTAAGGTTATAATAGAATTTTCTTTTCTCCCCACACTTAAAGGTTATTCATATTATTTAATAGATTATTAGATTAGCTTATTTAATAGATTTCAATGAAATCTATTAAATGAGCTAGTTTTTGGCTGATTATTTTGTCTGCACTTTTTAAATTCCACTAGTCTGAGAACTCTACGCCACACACATATATAGGAAAATTAAAATATATAGGAAATTAAAGAAAAATAGAAATTTTTTAAAACAATGCATTAAATTAAAACCTTGTTCTTTGTAAAACTTTAAAATCTTGTCATACCTTTTAAAAACCATGTCAAACATATTTCTGGAATTAGTTTAAAATCTGGCAGATAATTACGTACCTATGCTAAAATCATAAGTGGGACTGGTTATTGTTAAGGCAAGTTGCCTTAAATTCTATTTGAAGGGCATGTCGGTATAGGAGGTGACAAGCTTTATTAAAACTTTTGAAAGATGATTTTTTTGCTGTTAGTCGTGTTTTTTACAGATTTTAAAAAATTTTCGCGTAAATTACAATAGAAAAGTTAATTTTTTTATATAAAATGTTTGGGTTTCTTAAATTTTCTCAACAAGTCTAATTTTTTTCTAATATCGGAAATATTTTTCTTACATTTTACTAATAATTTGAAAAAAATTGCTAAATTTTGCTCTTAATTGCTTCAAAAAATCTTTACAATTCAAAAAATAAACAACTGTTTTTAAATATATAGCCTAGAATTTTTTATCAAATGCTTCTATTTTTTAATCAAATGTTTCTAAAGTTAGTCCTGCTATATCTTTTTTTAAATTTCTTGTCAAACATATCTTTAAACCTCTTAAATTAATTACTAAAATATTAGCCGAAATCAATAAAAAATTTTAAGCAGCTAAACTAAACATTGCCTTCATTATAACTAAAACTTAATTAAAAAAAATTATGGTGAAAAAGAGGTTATTGTTATGTTAAGATTTGTATGATTAAGATAAGATTGATTATGGTGTTAAGATTTGTGTATTTATAACACAAATCTTAACAGAAATTTTAAGTGAAATGAAGTGAAGATTTTTTTATTATCTTTTGAAGAAATTTCATTTGATATGTCAGGACTTCATTTTTTTCCTACAAAAAGATGCGCCACAGCGAACAGAGGAAAAGAATACAAGAAAAGGGGAAATACGTTCATAGAAAAAAAATTGCTTTCGAGGGACGGTACTACTATCATATTTCTGATATGAAAACAGAATTTGTATTTAATCGAAAAACTCGAAATCGATTTCATGAATGGTTAAATTTTTAATCACTTAACATCATGACTACTCACTAGAGTTGATTCAATGATTGCTGAATGATTAGATGGTACTGCTTCAATGATCCGAATCACTGAATTGATTTGTTGATTCGAATAGTGATCCAAAGCTCAAGATTTAAATTAGTGATCTGAATCACTTCATAACAATCAGTTATCCGGTTTACATGCTTTGAATCACTTGATTCGAGTAGTGACCCAAATCACATGATACGAATAGATGATCCGAATGACTTTGAGAATCACTGATCTGAATCACCTGATTCGATCAATGATCCAAATCACAGGATTCATATAAGTGATCTGATTCACTTCATAACAATCAGTTATCTGAATCGCATGATCCAAATCACTGATCTGAAATCACTTGACTCAGAAAGTGATTTGAATCATTGATTTGAATAATTGATCCAAATCATTTAATTAGCAACATTTGTCTAAATCGTTTGATTCAAATTACTGTTCTGAATCCCTTGACTTGAATCTCTAATCAAAATCACATGATTCAAATCAGTGATTTGAGTCACTTGATTCTAATTCAGCTCTCTCGTGGCGATATCTTTGCACCATGGAGAATTTTTTAATTGCATAGTCACAAAACTATTACAGATATGCTAAGAATTGAAATGTAAATATTTTTGAATATAACGTGATATTCGAACAATCTAAAGCAAAAATATAGCATAAATGCAAAAAAAAAAGAAGGAAAAAAAAAGAAAACTTTTGATATATTNCTGAGCTACTATACATTTCCAACTTTCCAACTTCATTGTTTTCTGTTGCACTGATGAAGGTTGCCCTTTGAGCATCCGAAACAGCTGTCTGCTTTTTAATAATATTTTTGTGCTCTTTAACATTGTCTACCTTAGTTTGTATTTTAGCACAAAGGTCGCCCACTTGTGTATTTACAAAAAGTACGAATTATCCTTTTTCTGGAAAACAGCACTTACGGAGAAAAGAAGAACAAACCAATTGAAACGGGATAGAATAATAAAATCTCTACCATCATCTAAATTAATGCAGAGCCTATATTCTGCTGATCAGCCCCTTTCTCGGAATTAAATATTCTTCAGAGTTGGGAGGCTTTAAAAAGAGGAAAATTTCTTGTTTACGAATTACGATAAAAAGAGTGACAATAATTTATATACTAATAGGTCGGAAAATCACACCTTACCTACTGAGAAAAAAAAAGACCCCCTCCCTTTTTTTTTCTATATCATTCGCGAAAACTTAAGCTCTTGAGCAATACCCATGTATTCTTGTGTACATTTTTTTTTAATGTTATTCATTTTTTACAAAATAGGTAAAAAAGAAATAGGTTTTTTTTTACATCTTACAAAGTGTAACTATGTAGCCTAGTAATTTTGAGCCTCGACACAAAACAAGGGAGCTTATGTATCAAACAAGCTTTCATCGAAAATTTTTTGATGAAACCAACCCCCATTTACGTTAGAAGGATCGGAAAAGCACTAAAATCTTCCGTGATTAGCTCGACAGCAAGGGGATTCAATTCCAAAATCCATCTCCTACTGAGGATATTTTAAGTCTGCACTGTCGTCGGTGCTTGTTAAGCTACTATTGGCGTTAGGGATGTTTAACTAATTGTGATTATAGGAAAATAATGTACTTATACAGGTACTAAAGCAACAGGTTTTT